ATATAAATTTATATAATATTTATATAAATTCATGTATAAAAAAATTTTTAGTGATATATACAAAAGTTCTTTTGTGATTTATTATGCGCAAATTTATTAATTAAATTCATTGATTAAAATCAAGATTTTTCAGTAGTTCGCTCTCTATTGCTAATAATGCCAATGACGATATTATCTAGTGTCAGTCGTTGTGTGTGAATATTATGTGTTATATTGTGTGTTTTATTGTACGAGAAATGCAAAATTGAAATTTTTAATTGTTTATTTTTATTCAATTATTTATTTTTATCGATGAAACACAATTTTAAGTTAAGGCTAAGAGGCCCCCTAAAAAAAGACTGAGACTATATCTCCCTAAGCCTCCTCTTTCCCCCTCCCCACTCTTAATCTAGGTCTGCCATTCAGCAAACATACACATTTTGAAATGACGAACAATACGCACTTTTTGTAAAATTATATATTATATATTATATAATATATAATTATATATTATAAAAATATATTATAAATACCTATTATTTGGATACAATCACTATTTTTAAAATAATACAATCATCATTTTTATAGTACAATTTCATACACGTTTACCATTTCAAGTTTACTAAATAGCATCAAAGAAATTGCGCTGTACAATAATGTGTGTCAAATCCATATCAATACATTTTTTCGCTATCTGCCAATCAATGAGGAGAAAAAATTTCCCATTCCTTTGGCTTCTGTAAAATAAAATAAAATAAACTGCGTATATATATTGTGAATTTGATTTGTGTCAAACGTATCCATACAAAATCATTACGTGGTATTCATAGTTAGTTTAGCTATCTGAATTGTAATAAACAAATGATGTTGTCAAACAGAGAAAAATGGATAAAAGTAGGAGAAACTATATTGTGTCCTTATAGTCAGTTTATATGTTTAAAGATTTTCATTATCGAATATTACTTGAAGAGACTATAACGTATGAATATTTTAAAATGGCTTTATCTCCTGGAGATCCGCACTCCTTTTCAAGACCAGGTATTTTAATTATTTAATTAGCTTACTTATGGATCAATTCTAAGCAGAATCATAAGACTCGTAATCTGTTCTCGTAAAACTGTAAAAAGTGATGACTAATATTCTAATTGCATATATTGCATATATTGTAAAACGTATAATTATTTGTAAATATTTACAAATTTTTTTGTAAATTTTATGACTAGTAAGAAGCTGTCTATAAAAAGATTGCATAAAGGTATAAGCACTTAAAAATTCTTACAAGTCTTATAGGAATATGTTACAAGCCTTACGATTCTGTTTAGAATTATAATTTTATTCATTAATTTATTTTTTTCTTAAAAGAGATATAGTAAAGTATATTTGCAGAATTCATTAAGGTTCGAAAGATGAAATATCATATATATACCTTTAAACTTTTAAGCTTTAATAATTTACATTAAAAAAAATTAAATTAATCTTTCATGAATTTAATTAATTGACATTTTATTGTTAATTTTCTTAAATATATAAAATATTTAGCACAAAAATCGGATGTTTATTTATATTTTAAAAACATTATAATATTGTGTTATAATAATTTTAATTACAATATATTATTTTCTGATGTGTATTGATATTTACGCACATTGTGTTTTATATATATTATTACTTATTAAACATTTTTTAATATTTATTACTTTCTGATTACTAGAATTTGCACGTGTAACTAACATTCATTTGGAACTATATGTAGATTTTTATCGAACAATTCTTAAAGGAAAAGCGATTTTGACTATAGAAAAAAAAAAACATTCAATTACAGAAATAGTGAGTAGATGCCTATTATATTGAGCAAAATTTTGATTTGGTAATATGTGGTATTAATATGTGGTATTAATATCGCTTTAATTAGATTTTAGATAATTATGCACTTGTCATAAAACGTGTCACAAATCCTGTTACCGAAGCATTTTTAGAATATTCTATTGGACATCAACATATTGTTGGAAGCTCATTTACCGTACAGTTACCAAAAACTGAAGAAGAATACAGTGATTTTAAGCCTACGTGAATATAAAACATTAAAAAAAATACAATTACTAAAAATTATTGGTGCAAGAATTGAGTACATCTTTAATACGTTATTTTCAGATGTAAAATTCAAATTGAATATGAAACAAGTCCAGACTCACCTGCATTATATTGGCTAACACCTGCACAAACTGCCGATGGTACACATCCTTTCCTATTGTCTAATAACAAGGTAAATTAATTAAATAAAATTGATCAATGCAGATTGTATAAAAACTTCTTGTTGTTTCAGTTAACATTCGCTAGAGCAGTATTTCCCTGCCAAGATACACCATCTGTCAAATTTTCGTACACTGCTACGGTAAAAATTTAAATGTAGATAGTATGTGTATTTTATACATTTATATAAAAACATGATTGATTATTATTAACATTATTAATAAAAATAATACAAATTTACGAAAAAATAAAATGTATCAGTGGAAAAAATTAAATGTATGATGATAAACGTATATAATAATATTTATTCTTTTTTCTTATAAACTGTTTTAATTAATCTAAAATAAAGTATTCATTTAATTTTTATTGATATATATATTTCATTTTTTAGATTATAGTGCCAAAAGATTTCACAGTTGTAATGTCTGCACTTTCGCAAAATGTATTTAAAAATTCGGAGGTAAATCTATATAATTTTCTTCAAGCGAAACAAGTAGCATCTTACGCAGTAATTATTGCTGTAGGTTCACTACAGAAAAAACATCTTAGTATAAGAAGCAATGTGTTTGCTGAGAAGAAATTTATTAACGAAGCTGTCTATACATTTCGTACAGGCGTAATTGAAAAGATGTTGGATACTGCTGAAGATTTGTGTGGATCTTATTTTTGGGGTATAAAATATCAATTAAATTATTTATTATTAATTTATTTAAGTTTTTGTATAAAAAGAAATTTATTATTTTGTGAATTATCAATCTTCTCTTTTATTATTACAATACTTAAAATGATATCTTTAGATAGATACGATATATGTGTTCTTCCACCATGTCTCGGCCATTTCGAAATAGAATGTCCATGCATAACATTTTTTTCATCAAATTTACTTTACGGAGATGATTGTAGTATCAGTTCACTCGCTCTAAATATCGCACAAAGCTGGGCAGGACATTTAGTTACATGTACAAATTATAATCATTTCTGGCTACATAAAAGTTTCAGCATGTTTGTTGGCAGGAAAATCATTTGCAAAATATGGACGCTTAATGAAACGCAGTTATTTTACAAAAAATTATCATATCTCGATTTGAATAGGATGGTAAAGTATTAATTTTGATTAAAACTAATGGAATAAAATTAATAAGTAATATCGTATATGATATCAGATTACAAATTATTTTATATGATACCAGATTACAGAATCTTTTTACACGCACATAATTAAATAAACACATTTCTTCTGTATTATTTTCTAAATTATATTATAGATTATTATAGATTCTAAATTATATTATAGATTATTATAGATTCTAAATTATATTATAGATAGATATATCAAGTGAGACCAACTCATTAAAAAACTTAGTACCCGATTTGACTGGTTTGTTGCCTATAAACTTCATTAGACATGTACCCTACGAACTAGGATGTATGTTTTTAGACAACCTAGAGACTAACTTAGGAGGATCTTTAATATTCGAAGAATTTCTTAAATCTTATTTTTATAATTTCGCATACAAAAGTATAAAGACGGATGATTGGAAGGAGTATTTGAATAAGTACTTTGCTAAAATAGTGAATAAAAAGGTAATATATTCTTTATACAAATAAATTATATATATAGGCTTAATATTTTAGTATTACAAATAATAAATTTTATGTTATTTTAGTTAAAATATATTGATTGGAACTTATGGTTCTATAATATTCCTTATAAACGTACCAATATAGATCGTGATACCACATGGGAAATAGAGTGCTTCAAATTAGCAATAACATGGGCCAGATGGGATGATAATATTAATGATGATCCTCCTTTTATATCTATTTTATATAAAAAAAAGGATCTTTGTAATATTGAAGAAATAATATTTTTAAACATACTTATACATTATATGTATAAATATTTGAACGTGAAAAAAATGAATTTATTATTAAAAATTCATTGTTTTGAAAATAAAAGTTATCAAATACGGTAAATATGCATATCTATGTACAGATTGATTTAAAATTAATAATGGAAAACATATTTCACAGATTTCTTTGGCTGCTATTGTGCATTAAAGTTCATTGGCACGAAAAAATTCTAGAAGCTCTGGACTTTGTTGTTCAGTTTTGCTCGTCACATTATGCGTGGCATATATTCAATTATATACTTGAATTGCCAGAATATCATTCTACATTGAGCGAAATATTTAAAAAAAATCAAGAAAAAATGTTGTCTTACACTCGGAACAAATTAACACCAATTCTATTCTCGAAACATTGATATTTATTTAATGAACAAATAATTTAATTTTTCTTTTGACAGGTAAATCATTAATAACTACAAAAAATAAAATAACTTATTCATTATAAAGAAAAAAATGTTCAAAAATATTAAACTTTTATAAACAATATAATAGATACAAATTTCTCTTTATATTTTAACTTTGTACAATTATAATTAGTAATAATAATATAAAAGTAATTCATAATTTGAAATATAAAAGTTGTTTTATCTGAGTTGCAGAGCCAGCAATTAAAGGCAACTCAGTTCACAATGATGCATAACGATAACTTTTGACTCGTTAAAAGACGTCTAAATTTATGTGAAAATAAAAAATACATATGTTGCATACTGCAGAACACCACACTGTTAAAATATTATTTAACGTTAATTAATGCATAACGTTAACTTTTAAATTAACTTTTAAATTACACAAGTTGAATTTCATTTTACAACGTTAAATATAATAACATTAAATGTAATAATAATTAAATGTAATAACATTAATAACATTATATTAAATTTAATGTATTTGTAACTGTAAATATACATTTGTCTAGGTGTACATGAAATTTAATACTTTTTATAAAATTTTATGAAATTTAATGTATTTAATACATTCCATAAAATTTTATGTATTTGCATAAAATTTAATGCATATGTTCATTACATTTAACATTAATTTTTAGTTAAACCATTCATTTTCAATTATCTCATAATCATAAGTTTTCGTTACATATTACTTAAATTAATTGCAATTCTATCAGTGTATGTAATTTATTGTATTACATAAAGGTAAATCTGCAGAAATTGTTCGTTAAAATTCATTTTCCTAATAAAGATTTATATATAGATTCTATATATATATATATATAATATATAAATTGTTTCAACTTAAATAATAAGCTCTTGACAAGGAAATCAAATCGTAGATATGAATTCTCAATGTTTTCTCTTTAATTAATCGCATAATTTGCATTTTGCATCTCATCTGAAAGAGAGAGATCTCCTATAATATTTTAAAGTAAAAGTTATTAGTAAAAGTAATTATCTAAACAACAAAAAGTCTAAAATTGAGTTTTAAAGATGTCTTATGTCATGTTTTTGGACATGCGTCTGAATATTTGCTTTCTTCATTTAAATAAAATTCATAATACATATCGCTTTATTGATATATTTTTCATTTATCATTATATTCATAATATAATTGAGAGCCAGAGGATCAATTTTTATTAAATATTCATTGCTTTTTTTTGAGCAGCTATTAATGATTGATCGCTGCTTTCAATTGCTAATAAAGTGTCTTTAAAATTATTTGTTTTGTGGTAAATTTATACACTAGAAATAAATTATTAGATGTAAGTAGATCTATAAAAATAATCTTCCTCATACATATATTGGGAGTACAAATTAGTTCGATCCGTTTCCCTAAAGATTGCTTCTTGCTGTTGTGAATGGTTCATAGTGACAACTGATTTTGGCGGTTTCAGAGAGGTAAAACATCTGCTAATAATATTCAGTTTAATATTCGTTTCGAGTTCTCATAAAACCTTGATTTTTACTGTGAAATATCGAATTTTGTGTTAACCAAGCAGCATTTGCGGGAGGTTTTGATTTTTTGCTTTAATTGGAAGAAAAGTGCGGCTGAAGCCCATCGAATGCTTGTCGAAGTTTATGGTGACACTGCTCCAACTGATAAATCATGTAGGGAATGGTTTCGACGTTTCAAGGATGGAGATTTCAGCGTTGAAGACAAGCCTCGCTCTGGACAGCCAAAAAAATTCGAAGACAAAGAATTAGAGGCATTACTCGAACAAGATCAGAGTCAAACGCAAGAGGAGCTTGCAGAATCATTGGGGGTAACTCAACAAGCCGTTTCTGTACGATTGAGAGCCATGGGAATGATTCAAAAACAAGGAAATTAGGTGCCTTATGAACTGAAACCGAGACGTTGAAAGGCGATTTTTCACTTGCGAACAGCTGATTCAAAAACAGAGAAAAGGTTTTTTTTGCATCGGATTGTGACGGAGATGAGAAGTGGATATTCTACGACAACTCAAGAAGAAAAAATACTACGCTAAGCCCGGTCAATCGTTGCTATTGATCTCAACATCAACACCATGGCCGAATATTCATGATTCGAAGATCCATGCTCTGTATCTGGGACCGTTCTTAAAGCATATGATCACGGGCGACGAAAAATGAATTGTTTACAACAATGTCAGTCGAAAAAGAAGTTGGAGTAGGCGAGGTGAAGCACCGGAAAGGCAAGCAAAGGTGGAGATCCACCAAAAGAAGATAATGCTGTCAATGTGATGGGAGTGGAAGGGATCAGACTTCTATGAGCTACTTCCAAAGAACAAAATTATTAATTCCGATGTCTACTGTGAGCAGCTGTAGAAATTAAGTGATGCCATCGCACAGAAACGTCCCGCTAATCAATCGTAAGAATGTGGTGTTTCACCACGCCAATGCAAGTTTGGTCACTCGGCAAAATTGTTGCAACATAGTTGGGATATGTTACCACATCCACCGTATAGCCCAGTTCTTGCACCATCAGACTTCCATCTCTTTCGCTCCTTGCAAAACTCCTTGAATGGTAAAACGTGTGCTTCTGAAGACCTCATCAAACAGTACCTAGACAAGTTTCTCGCAGAGAAGGATGGGAAGTTTTATGAACGTGGTATTATAAAGTTGCCCGGGAGATGGCAGAAGGTCATCGAAAAAAACGGCCAATATATCATTGATTAATGTTCATTACGTATATTAAATAAACACTGAAAATCAAATGAAAAAAACGCAATGACTTTTTGAACAAATAAACCCAATAAACTGGGAGAAATTTTCTTAATTTGTTCTTTATATCTTAATAACAAAAGCAACAACTGTTGCATGTACTTAGAACTTTAATAATCCATAATTTTCAAACTTAAGATATCATTTCATATATTTATTAGATTGCAACGCTTTATTTTTTTAAATTTACATTTTTTAAATAAAACAATTTTATATATAAAACAATAAAGATAAAGTATTGTATAAAACTCTCAAAATTATTTTTATTGTAAAAATAATACCATTATTAATTAACATAAATTATTTTAATATGTTATGCTTGTTACACAATCTTTATGCTTATTACTTATATATCCTTAATCATTATTTAAATGTATTTGTATTTTTTATAAATTTGAAATTATTAGACCTGGCAGTAATTAATACATTGTAATTAATATAATGATTTAAAATGGAATGTACAAAAGATTCTTAAAAGCAAAGCAATATTGACTATTTATATTGATCCAAAGTTGCAATCTTCAACTATCACAATAAGTGAGTAAACATTTTCTTCTGTTTTATACAGGAATATTATTTGTCATTAATATGTAATATGAATTAGATTTTAGATAGTTACAAATTTATTATATCAATTGTCATAGATTTTTGTACTGAATTTAATTTAATTTATCAAATTGGACGTTGTCATATTTTTTGGAAGTAAATTTACCATTCTATTACCTATTATAGACTGACAAATATACATCAAAATCATAACATTCAGTAAATATAAAATATTTTTTTAAAGTATACATTAACAATATATCTAATAAACTGATGTTAAAAATTATAGATATAATAATTGATATATAGATAATGCAATGCTAATATTTTCAGATGTAAAATTCATATATAAATATGAAATAAGTCCAAACTCTTTTGCATTATATTGGCTAACCTGTACAAATTGCGGATGATATATATTCTTTTCTATTGTAAAAATAAATATGTAACAAGGACTCTCTCTCTTTAAAATATAAATAAAATATAAATAAAAAAAAATCTAAAATCAAACTAAATCTAGGCTAATGAGAATCAGTGCAAACGGAGGGATGAATAAAATTTTTACAAATAAATTTGTTAACCTATATGAAGAATTCATCAGCAATCTTCTTAATCCATATTAGATTTCGCGAACAGTCAAGGTAGAGTCGTAGGTTATCAAAACTGTAGTATAATCCACACAATCGCCAAATCTCATCATGAAACTTTGGATGATATATTAATATTCACAATTAATCACATTTTATGATACATTTTATATTAATTTGCTGATGAAGATTCTAAAAAGAATCAAAACATTCAAGATTTTTCAAGATTTCAAATAAAAATGATCAATACTTCGTATGGATTAACAAATTTATTTGTAAAAATTTTATTCACCTCCATTCGTGCTTCTCATTAGTCCAGATTTGTTTTTTATTACTTTTCTATATCTAACAACAAGGTAAACTATAAAACAACAAAGTAAAACTATAAAAGAATCTATTTTCCACATCACAGTATGTATTGTATAAAAATTTTTATATGTTCAATTCACATTTCCTTGTTAGGATACATCATCTGTGAAATCTACGTATTTTACAAAAGTAAAGATTTAATCAAATGTTAAATTTTATGTAAATTTTATATTTATTTATATATACAAGAGTAGAAATATTTTGTTGATGTCTGATTAAATGTTATTGATGCTATTGATAAACATAATAAAAAATTAATGAAGAAAATATAGTGAAGATAACACATACATGAAAATATACATTTATAAACATACATCTATATTTTCTTAGATCTATATTTTATTAGATTTAATTAAATTAAAATAAAATTTCTCTCAACTAGTAAGAGAAGCGCGACTTATGGTCAAAGTCAGATGTTGGAATAATATCTCTATATATGCATGTAAATAAATTTATTTTAGATAATAATTGCACACTGATTACTTTTAAATTTGCAACACAATAAAAGTGAAACAATAATAATTTTTGATATGCTTATCAGCATCAGAATATTAACATTAATCTAAGATGCCTACGAACACCAATATAATTAAATTGCTTTAATTTGTGATAGTTCTGTTAAAATTACGTTTCAAGACTAAAAATAAAATTCGGTGAGCAGTTTGGGGGATTAAAAATATGTAGTATATAAACTCACGTAGA